ACCGGAGATCTGTGTTTATGTACTCCGGTTAGCATCGGTTAAGTCTTGATCTTTTCTGGGATCAGGTGCCTCCTAACCTGGAACAAACAACACTAGCTAGCAAGGTGAAACAGATAAAAAGAAAAAAGAAAAGAAAACAGTAGCTATAAAGAGGCAAATAAAAAGGTTTTGAGTCGCTTTTTAAAGATGTCAATTGACGCTGATTCACGGACTTCAACGGGTAGTGCATTCCACATTTTTGGAGCCGCAACACGAATTGATCTCTCACCATATGTTTTCGAACGGCACCCAGGAACAAACAAAGTTGATGAACTTGTAGTTGATCTGAGTGCTCGGGAACAAGTGGATGAGCGTAGTCTGAGAAGATCTTGCATGTACGTGGGTGATAGGTTATGGAGCGATTTGTACACAAGAAGAAGATTTTTGAAGTTGATACGCTGTCGAACTGGAAGCCAATGTAGGTCTTTGAGTATTGGCGTGATGTTCTGTGACTTTGGGGTGAGCTTAATCAGACGTGCGGCCGAGTTAAGATGTAGTTGTAATTTTTTTATAAGAGTATCTGGAAGCCCAAATAGGATACCATTGCAATAGTCAAGTCTTGAAGTTATAAGAGCATGAGCAAGTTTTTTAGTTGCATCTTCGTTCAGGAAGCGTCTGATTTGCCTAATATTACGGATGTGATAATTGACAGATTTACAAACGTTGGTAACATGTTGCTTTAGAGACATCGTGTTGTCAAAAGTCACACCAACATTACGGACTTCCAGTGATGGAGTGACCGTTGTATTACCAACGCGGAGACACTGCAGATTGGGTGAGTTGGAACGATGTCTAGAGTGTATGACGAGAATTTCAGTCTTTCTGGGATTAAAACAAAGCATATTTTCAGATAGCCAGGTTTGTATTTCATCAAGACATCTTTCAACACGATCAACTGCATCGTCCATCGCATCAGGTTTAAAGCCGAGGTACATCTGCATATCATCGGCGTAAACATGGTAACGGCATAAATGCTTGCTAATGATATTGCTGAGGGGACAGATGTAAATGGTGAAGAGGACAGGACCCAGAGTTGAATCCCTGTGGGACGCCACATTCTAAGAAAACAGGATCAGAAATAGACGATTTAATTTTAACACATTGGCGTCGTGATATTAAGTACGACTGGAACCAACCGAGTGCAGAACCAGAGATACCAATGTCAATTAAGCGATTAAGAAGAATATTATGATCAATAGTATCGAATGCAGCAGACATGTCTAAATATACCGATAAAATACATTCACCTGTATCAAGAGCTTGCATAATGTCATCATGGACTTTCAGTATGGCGGTTTCTGTACTAAAAAACTTTCTGTATGCTGACTGGAATTGGTCGTTAAGACCATTGTCATCAAGATGCTTGACTAGTTTGGAGACAACAACCTTCTCGAATATTTTGGAAATAAATGGAATGGAGGTTATAGGTCGGAAATTAGAAAATTCAGTATGGTCAATCTGATGTTTCTTCAAAATAGGTGATACCAAGCCAAGCTTCAGTGCCTCAGGAAATAAGCCAGAAGACAGGGAGGAATTAATGAGTTTCCGAAAGAGACTAATCATAGTAGTGGGCAGAGACACTAAAATATTAGTCGGAAAAGGGTCTAAGTCACAGGTTTTAGTTTCCATGGACTTGACAATGTCAATAACATCTTCATTGTTCAGTAAGTTAAAACTCTCAAATTTCGAAAGCTGTAGAGCAGGAGAAGAAGTAGGAAGCCCAAAGCTGGGCGATGACTCACTTGGTGTGATTTTGTTACGCAGACGTTTAACCTTCTGAATAAAGAATGCATCGAAATCATTGGCCAGCTGAAGGTGGCTCTCAGCAGTTGGAAAAAGATCAGCAGCGCAGTTACCAAGAAGCTTTCTAGCAATCTTAAACAGGCGTTTTTGACCACAGATATCTACTTGGGCCTGAATGGAGGCGGTGCGTTCTTCAACCAGTACACGATGATACTCAATGCACTTTTTCTGGTAAGCAAGAAGACTTGCGTGTGTTTTAGACTTTCGCCATTTACGTTCTGCTCTTCGCTTATTCCTTTTGGCATCACGGCATACTGTATTAAACCATTCAGATGATATGCGATCTGACACACATACGGTTTTCAGTGGAGCGAGTTCATCCCTGAGTAAGGTGAGTGAGGAATTATACTCATCAATAGCTGAGTTGATTTGCATTGAGTCAGTAAAGTGCGAGAACTTTTGTGAAATTTGACTTTGGAGGTAGTTAAGGTCGACCCTGTCATACATTCTATAAGAGATGACTTTTTTCCGGGTAAACGCTTTGTTGGTATCTAGACTTGCGTGAAGAAAGTAGTGATCCGACAACGGGTATGCATCAATGGATGTATTAGTGATAAGATCAGGATTATTAGTAATAATCAAATCAAGAGTATGCTGGTGTTGATGGGTAGGAACATTAATGAGCTGTGTGAGATTGAATGAACTGAGACATCTGGAAGCTGGAGCGTATACACATTCAGTGGATCATCAGCATGTATGTTGAAGTCACCTGTAATTATGACATTGGAGGACAATGAGTACTGCTCCACAAAAGTTGAAAACTCAGTAAAAAACTGCATGTTCAATTGCGTTCAGCCTTTAAATAAGGGATTACCCACCTGGCCACTTCGTGAACGAAAATACTTTTCTGATATGCTAGGGGCCTAGCATTTTGTCGCCTCGGGCCCCGAATCGTCGTTACGCCCGACTACCTTGTCTTCTAATCACAGGGTCCTATAGGTTCAATTCCTTTGACAGCTTAAGGCATCACGTTATTTCATTAATTTAAGAAGTAATTAGTATCAGCCAATCCTTGTATAGTTCTAGGACACGCTGGAAGTGTCACTCTCGATTTAATATGGTTATAAAACAAATAATTTTAAACTATATTTTCCTCAATACAGATGCCATCAGGGCCGGCGGAACGTTTTTCAAGGTGGGGGGGGGGGGCACTTATAAGATGAATGGGAATATGAATCATGCAGATCTGGAAAAACCTAGGGGATGGGGGTCAACATTTTTACTAAAAAGGAAAGGGGATCCGGGGGTCTTCCCCGAGAAAATTTTGATTTCTAGATTGCGGGAAATTACCTTTCTCGACTTTTGAGCTAGGTTTCTAATGACTTTGTTCTTCAAAATTCAAGGTTTCCCAGTCTTGAAAAAGATCAGGTAAACTTTCTCATTCTTATTACAGTAAATAGGCCTGTTTGTGTGTATACATACATAAAAAAAAATTAGTTGTTGCATACGTATTCTTTTTTCAATGATAAGCTCCAAAGAAAAGGAGCGGGGGATCCCAGGGTTTTCCACCCAGAAAAATTTTGAATTCTAGATGGCGGGAAATGAGTTTTTCAGTCTTCTGAGGTGTCTTAATTACTTTTAATGGGCCAGGTAAATTTATCCCTGTTATTACAGTAGATAGGCGTGTGTATATGTGTGTATACATACATAAAAAAAAATTGAGTAGTTGCAATACGATTCTTTTTCCATGAATTCATAAATCCCAAAAAGAAAAGGGGGTCCGGGCGTTCTCCCCCGTGAATATTTTGATCCCTAGAAGGCGGGATGAGTTTTCCCGACTTCCGAGGTGTCTTTTAATTACTTAAGGTAAAGGTTCTTTAAAATTCAAGGTTTTCCCCTTTTGAAAATTATTATAATGAATCAATGAACCCAAAGAGAAAAGACAGGTTCGGTTTCGTCCCGGAAAAATGTTAATTTTTAAATGGTGGAAAATGAGCTTTCCCGACTTCTGAAGTACAGTGTCTTTTAGCGATTTTAATTTAAGTTCTTCAAAATTCAAGGTTTCCTCTTCTGAAAACGGTCAGGTAAATTTTTCCACTTGTTATTACGGTAAATAGGCCTTATGTGTGTATAAATAAATAAAAAAAAATTGAATAGTTGCATACAATTTTCTTTTTTTTCATGAACCGATAAATCCCAAAAAGATAGGGGGTCGGGGGTTCTCCCCCGGGAAAATTTTGATTCCTAGAAGGCGGGAAAGGATTTTCCCGACTTCTGAGGTGTATTAATTACTTTTAGGTTCTTTAAAATTCAAGGATTTCCCCTCTTGAAAACGGTCAGGTAAATTTATCCCATTGTTATTACAGTAGACAGGCCTTATGTGTGTATACATACATTTAAAAAATTGAGTATTTGCATACGATTTTTTTCCCATGAACCCATAAATCATAAATCCCAAAAAGGGAAGGGGGTCCGGGGGTTCTCCACAGGGAAACTTTTGATTCCTAGAAGTCGGGAAATGAGCTTTCCCGACTTCTGAGGTGTCTTTTAACTGCTTTTAAGTTCTTCAAAATTCAAGGTTTTCCGGTCCCTTCTTGAAAATTATTATAATGAATCAATGAACCCAAAGATCTTCCCGGGAAAATGTTAATTTGTAAATGGTGGGAAATGAGCTTTCCCGACTTCTCTAGCATCTTATAGCGATTTTTCAATTTAAGTTCTTCAAAATTCAAGGTTTCCTCTCTTGAAATAGGTCAGGTAATTTTTTCCCAAAATCCCAAAAAGAAAGGCGGTCGGGGGTTCTCCCCCGGAAAAATGTTGATTCCTAGAAGCGGGAAATGAGCTTTCCCGACTTCTGAGGTGTTTTTTAATTACTTCTAATTTCTTCAAAAATCAAGGTTTTCCCCCTCTTGAAAATGATTCAATGAACCATTGAACCCCAAAGAAAGAGGGTCCGGTTCCCCCGGGAAAAGTTCGATTTCTAGAATGCGGGAAATGACCTTCCCTGACTTCTGAAATGTCTTTTAAATGACTTTTTAAGTTCTTCAAAATTCAAGGTTTTCCCCTCTTGAAAATGGTCAGGTACATTTTTCTCATTTTTTAATTTATGTGTGTATACATAGGCCTATATAAATAAATAAGTAGTTGCATGCGTATTCTTTTTTTCCATGAATCGATAAATCCCAAAAAGAAAGGGTGATCCAGGGGTGATCCGGGGGTTCTCCCCCGGGAAAATTTTAATTCGTAGATGGCGGGAATGAGCTCTCCCGATATTGGAAGTGTGTTTTAATGACTTTTATGTTCTTCAAAATTCTAATTTTCTGATTGTAACATGA